GACATTTTATGTGCAAAACAATCGTCGATTCCATGATTCTTATTTTAATTACGAGGTATGCTATGACACCGTTGTACATGATTGATTGTTTCATTTATTATTTCTTGTTGTAATTGAGAACCATTAGTAGTTTATGACTTAGTGGCCTCGTGCGTCATGAACAGACCTAGTGACATGTGTGGGTGTGTTGACTGAGTTTAGGTGGTGAACCAAAGTTTTAGTGTGGAATACGATTGTTGATTTAGAAAAACGAGAAGAGTTCGGATGGGGAAGTTAATGTTCATGTGCTTGGATGTGACTGTTGATGTATCTTCCAGCTCGCGCCAGTGAATTCGTGTAGTCACTGGGGTTGGTTTGTTGGGTTAAAGTGAATTCGTGTAGTCACTTTAGTTCGTGAGCTATTTTGTCACCTGAGCTTTGCCTGAGTTCAAACTTGGCCAAGATCGGATTGCGTGTAGTCCTCTGACCGATTCGTGTATTGGATGCACATAGAGGATTTGTGAACAGTTAGTTATCCGGTGATATGAATGTTGACTTTCTGTGAGATGTGGACCAGTGAGTTTTAGGATGACTAGTTACATGACCTCGTTTCTTGGCTAAGTATGAATTCTTGTGAGAGGTAGACCAGTTGTTTTTCTTTTCATACATAGATCGGGATTAATATTTAATTATCTACAATTTGAGACATATGGTATATACATGAGGGTTTTCTTGTTTGGATTTTTTTGCTCGACGTACTACGCCTCGAGTTGTAGATTTTTAAGTATTAATTCCATCTAGTGTATAATCCTGTTACTTGGATGATTATTCTGATCGCTAGCTACATGATCTCATTACCCGTTTGATTTTTGGATTCTCCTAATTATTATATTTTAGTAGTGGATTACATTTTAATTTTGTTGGATTTCCAATTGCACGTTCTTTTGTCATTTCAGTTTTTATATCCATTTCTGCTTGGGTTTTTGATTGTTCTATTTTCTTTTGTGGGGTCTTGCCGTGTGCCATGCACGCTGACGTACACCTGTTTTCTCTGGTGTACGTTGTAGGCATATAAAATTGCTTATAGGTCCCTGTAGGCGTCTAAAAATGCCTATAGGTATCCACACACAGCTCGAGACAGAGAGAAGACGACGGACATT